CAGGTTTATTAATTTATTATTATTTATAAGACTTTCAAATATTTTTGCTGCCTATTTTCAAAGACTTTTCAGAGACCATTGAGAGCAATCAGCTGTTGAAAAATTCCAAGTGTAAGCAACATTTTTACCCAATAATTAGTCCTGTTAAATCACAACCTAAAATGCGCCTTTTCGTCCATATTTGCGAAAATCTTGCTTCAATCAATCTATTTTATTAGCTAGGAAATCGTATAATCAAACACTCACCAAAGAATTTAAAGACTTTTAAAGACTTTCTTCGCTTTTTCACACAATTCAAAGACTTTTCAAAGACCTTAAAGACCTGCATTCAAATTTAAAGACTTTCAAGGATTTCAAAGACCGCTACGAACCCTGGGTAATAAACCGTCAAGTCTTTGATAGTGATTTCCGTAGAGGAAATCGAAACGTTAGACAAAATAAAACATTTTGTAAATATAATCTAGTATTCTAGATGAATAATAATAATAAAAATAAACGTTTGATTTGTGTTAGTCCCATGTACTTGAGTAAGATTGGGATGTTGATTGAATAGTGGCTTGATCATGCAATGCCAGAAGAGTTTCTCTAGGTAATGCACGGCATGTTGTATAATAAGGACTGATAGAATAATATACGTCAGTTACAGATATAGTAATTCATTGAAGGGTTTGAATCCAGGTTGAAACATTATGTTTTATTTGTTCTTCCAGATTAACAAAAAGGTAAAATACTTTAATTTGTCTAACGTTTCGGTTTCCTAAACGGAAACCATTATCAAAGACTATGAATCTATTAAAAGTTTTCCGTTACTATCTTGCGTGCACGCGCAGACCGATTTGAACGCACGCGTCAGTAATCTCGCAAAGTTGCATCTGACGCAAGATAGTAACGGAAAACTTTTAATAGATTCATAGCACAGATGAGGTAATACAGATGTGAATCTCCTGTGAAAATGTGTCACACGGATTAAATAAACTTTAAAATTGTATTAATTCACTATTTTATTAAATTTTGATAATGCAGAGGAATAAAACTATACATATTATAGAAGTATTCATGTTTTTTTATGCGAGAGTTATGTTTTGAGGCATTTATATCATTCGCTGTTTTGTTATTTATACACGAGCATCTGAAATTCCCAGCAAGTGTATTTCACGATTTTAATAAGAAGTAGATAGGAAAAAAAACAAACTTTTGCTAAATAAAATGTTATATTAACACTTTTAATAAAAAGAAATCAATAAAAGTGATCGCTTACCGTTACTCTTGAATAATTAATTCCAAAAATAGCCGTCGGTAGCGTAGACTTTTTAAAAAAACAATTTTTCGTCTTTCGAACGGCGTTTTCCTATCTCTTTCCTTATTAAATTTCAGAACGACACTTGCCAGCGCTCGCCGGAAGTGAGAATTCCGTGTGACACAAAACAATCAGCAATTTCACAGGAGATTCACATCTGTACTTACCTCATCTGTGTTCATAGTCTTTGATAATGGTTTCCGTTTAGGAAACCGAAACGTTAGACAAATTAAAGTATTTTACCTTTTTGTTAATCTGGAAGAACAAATAAAACATAAGACATAGTAATATACGTCAGTTACATTACATTATTATTCAGCTCACTCCCCATTGGGGCTTTTCACTGTTTTCAGTAACCGCGATTTACTTAGCCTAGAGTATATTTATCTTTACAACAATTGTGATATCACTTTCCTAACTGTGTTTATCCTAAACAAACCTGTCAACTTTCCCTGTGAGAGGAAACCGGAGCACCCGGAGAAAACCCACGACTTTCGGCAGAGCGTTGACTGACTCTTTTCACATGAGACCACAGCGAAAATCGAACTCACGATCTCAGAGGTGGAAGGCACTTGCTCTGACGCTTGCTCTGTCAGTCCCATGCAGTGTTAATAGTGTATGACTGGTTGGGTTGTACAAAGATTATACAAAGAGTATATATTTGTTCACGGATCAATTTTATTGACACGCCACCATGATCAAATACATTTAAATGAAATGACATATTACGGGAAGTACGTCACCTATAAGGTTATAAAGATACGTTTCCATGATCGAGATCTTAGATCGAGAAATCTTTCAGCCTTTGCAAGCTGTTAGAAACATGACCATTTTTACAATAGTCAGCGATTGTTGAAATGAGAACTAACCTCGTCTCTGATATCCACACTCCTGCTCTGTTCAAACACTTCACGAGCGTTCAGTAAAGTTGTCATAACTTCATTCAGCGTAGAATGTCCTTAAACACAGTCAAAACACAGTGTCAGATGAGAAGGTACTACTTTACTACTATAAGAGACACGTATTCTATTCATACTTCACACGAAATTGATAACATTTGCATGCCTCAAATTAGCTACTGCAAATCGTAATTTTTGCAGACCAAAAAAATCCAAATAAATATTATATCCAAATAAATATATTACCAAAACCGCGGATCCTCCCCCTCGCCCCCAAAAAAATGTACAGTATCATTATGTATATATCTACGGGTATATATGAAAAAGCGTAAACACCATCTACAGTACATTTAAAGCCAGGATTCCAAATAAATATATTACCAAAACCACGGATCCTCAAAAAACGTATACAGTATCATTATTTCGTGTCAAAACATTCAGGAATTCGATTACATTCCTAATGTCGTTGAAATCGACAATTTGAAAATGACGACATCTGATTCGTCTGCGTGAAATTGTTCTGAAATTAGCTATTAATAGTTTGCCATTTTAGCAGTAGGAATGTAGTGGCATTCCTTAATGTTTTAACACGAAAACAAAACACGTTTATTCGAGTGGAAGCCTCTCCAGTTTTGGTAACAATATAACAGTCCAATTACCTTGAATGACAGCGGAAACCTCGAGAGATGATCTATTCTTCATGATCACTACCATCAATGGATATTGTGCAGCAAGAAATGCACGTACAGTATCCGCCACTCCACTACCACATTTCTGAGTGACTATATCATATAATCTAATCATAAACAAAATATTTCGTATGTAACTGCCTTTTCCAAAACTGACGATGATATAATTACGAATTAAATGGACCAAATCTGGCATAATATTGTACAAACTACTGGTATTGTCAAGAGCCAAGGCACAGAATAAAGACTATACCTTCTGTGTGTCTTTATTCTGTGGTCCAGGACTGTTAATGAGTATACTTATATAGAGGCCCCCCATAGAGCGTTTGCACATGACGTCACAGCCGCCATGTTGGTGTTCCAATTCAAAAGAATTTTAATTAGACTCTTTTGTCTGGAACCCTAACATGGCCGCCATGGCTTTTGTTGAGTTGGTCCCTGGGGTATGAGTGCAAACGCTCTATAGCGTGCTTAGTGCACGTGAATCAGGGGTGTAGGAAGCAGCGGCCTGCACGTTCGCCAACTCCCCCGCCCCCCCAATTTTTATATAAGGGGGGCGAACATAATTGGATTTAAAAAATGAGTGCATATGAAACTCTGCCAAAAAAAAACGAAATAGATAAATGCTGCATTATAAGTTCGACTAATCGGCTAAGTAATCATAATAATCCATCCAACGAAAGAGAAGAAATCATAACAAGTGACGGACAACAGGAAGGCAGGGCCGCCGAGAGCTTGGCGGGGGCCCGGGGCAAAAATTTTTTTTAGGGGCCCCTATTGCAAAAAAATTTTCCGGAAAAAATTTTTTCGGACAATAAATTCTTTTTAGGTGCGTTATAATTGCTTTCGTTGGACTTTTCCGCAATTTTCCATACCAAATTTCGGTTCATTGCCCCCCAAACACAAATATTTTGGCCCGAAAACAGAAATATTTCGCCCGAAAAATGACTGGGGCCCATTAAATTTCTAGCATTAAATTTCTAGGGGGGGCCAGGGCAATTTTCCCCCCTGCCCCCTCTCGGCGGCCCTGCAGGGAGGAACAAGGCGGGGGGTTCATATTTAACCAAACAACAATCTTTTCATAACCATGAAAGCCAGGTACAATGGTCGTTTAATGAAGCAAATAGCATTACATGTAAATTTCACGCAAATACATACGTTTTGGGGAACAACCATTCACCATTGCAGAAATAAAAGGGTGGTAAACATATATTATCAAAGTAACTTCATTCCCCCCAATCTCACGCGAAGCGCACTGTGCGTTGATGGTCGCAAAGCATGCATATACTCTATTAATTACTTACAACGTTCTATTGGTGTCATGTGACATGTCCCACGCCCAACTGGTAAAGTTTTCACTAATGTACGACACGACGTTTTCTACACATAAAATTTGACTGCAAACAAGAAAATAGAAATGAATCAATAACTGGAGATGTGTAAAACGCTAGGTCGCTTGGCAGTATTGTTACAAAAAACTTCCTGGAATATTAACGTACTAGTAGAATTGGTATTTACTGAAAGTGCAAGACGTTCACTTCGAGATAATACATTAAATGGCAATACAGCATTTCACTTCATATTATATATTCTATATTATATATCATGTAGTATTAGCACGCGGAATTTTTGTCAACGAAGACATCACGCGCACACACACAATTCAACAGTTAATTGTTGCGTCAACAGTTCTTGATTAACAGTTTTAAAGATCTCGTTTTCATAAGTGTCATGTCCGTGTTTACAAAAACGCTGCGTGCTTGAGATCTCTATTACATGTTATTGCACTGGATTACGTTACATTCACTTATATATTTATATATCAGACTACATTAGTACATTATGTGTTGTATTAAAATATAACCAACCTGCAAAACACGTTAGTCAATATACTGGAGTCGTGATGCAAGTATAACAATAATGGCCACCTCTAAAAATTAACAAAAACCTCAATAAAAATATGCCAAAAACACAAACAACAATTTCTCTTCAGCAGTGATGTTTATGACGTAATCACGCTTGCACATAATGACTTGGGTTAGCTTTGGTAAATTAGATTCGAAATATCACTGTTCAATATTGTGTCCTCTTGCTCTACTTAAATACTAAGTTTCAAGATGGAACTTCTATTCCGAGTTTGTTTCCTACTTTATTTCGTGATGATTTATGTCAGTTAAAACTAGGGATCCAACGATAGTGTAAAGTTTCAAATTGAAAAAGACACTGCAAGAACTGTATAGGATCGCCGACAACCTGCAGGGCTTTCAGAATTATTCTGAATAGGTGGCTGTGTTGATAAAGTAGGCGGCTGTGAGGAGCGGTCTAGGGAGTCTTACAGTCATCCAAATTAACTAGACATAAGTGTATATTGATTAGATAGCAACACAACTGAGCTTTGTAATCAAATTAGCTATAATGTATTACTACTTTCATTCTCAGTTTTACGAAATAGTACGTTGTTTTCGAAAACAACCGGCCATAAAGTAGACCAGGTTGAGGAAAAATAATTTTATTTGAAAGCTCGATCAGAGTGGAGGAAGGAGAGCAGAATTGATATTTCAAGTACTAAACAAAGTAGGCGGTGGTAAACCGCCTGGCACCCGCCGGAGCTCCGGCGG